TCCAGGTGTTTTGTAACCTGGTCATAAAAAGAGACTAGATTAGTCAGGCATGATCTACCTGCTATGAACCCATGCTGGTTTCCCCTCAGCATAATTTTTCCTGCTGGGCTCTCGCAAATGTGAGCCTTGATAATTTTTTCAAAGACTTTGCCTAGGATGGAGGTGAGACGACTGGCATATAGTTGCCTGGGTCCTCCTTCCTCCCCTTCTTGAAAATGGAGACCACATTGGCCCTTTTCCAGTCCTCCGGGACCTGGCCTGTGCGCCATGAGTGTTCAAATCTAATGACGCCAGCCAGTGCCTTCAGTACCCTCGGATGGAGCTCATCCCGGCCTGCCAACTTAAACGCATCCAATTCCTCCAAGTGCCTCTGCACCATCTCAGGGTCTACGCTTGGTAGTCTGGTGCCCTGCTGCTGCCTCTCTATAATCCCAGTGAGAGACTGATCTTGCCCCTTGCTTAGGAAAACTGAAGCAAAGAACTCATTGAGTTCAGCCTTGTCCCCCCTGTCCATCACCAATTGCTTACGCCCATTTAGTAGAGGTCCTATTCCACCCTGGGCCTTGCTTTTACTCCCATATCTAAAAAACAATTTTTTGTTATCCTTAACTTGGGATGCCATCCTCAGCTCCATGGTAGCTTTGGCCTGTCTAACTGTCTCCCTACAAGCGTGAGCAGAGGAGGTATACTCCTCTTTGGTAATCTCTCCCCGTTTCCACTTTTTATATGCCCCCCTTTTTGCCTGTAGGCTGCTCTGGATTTCTCTGGTCAGCCAAGGAAGCCTCTTGGCCCCTTTCCCCCTTTTTTCCTGCATCGGGATCGTCTCCCTCTGTGCCCAAAGGATCATTTCCTTGCTACTATTTCTGTAAAGGTATTATATTACTACTAACCTAAGTAGGTTATAACCAAGTGTTTTCTAAGCCCAGCCTATTTTCAGTCTTACTTTATCATATAAAAATAACACTTGTACAAGCTTTGGTAGTTCAGCCTTTTAAGAAGTGGTTTTAAAACAGCTGCACTGTCAATAATTTAAAAAAACAGCAACTAAATTTGCATCAGGACATGGTTACCCTATTGCTACAGGAAATCCCTCCCAAAACTGCTAAGCACTAGAAAATGTCAGTGTTATATATATATATATATATATATATATATATATGTGTAAAGTGCAGATATGAGAAAAACTACATGTGAACCACATCTTCCTCCTGACAAAGCTACTGTCCAGAATAACAGTTTTATTTCACTCTGGGTAGTTTTATTGAAGTCAGTCGCAGAACTCCCATTGAAATCAGTGGGGGTTCAGGACTTTCCCTCGACTGTTACATACATGCAAATAAGGACCAGCAATGTGGGATTAGCTTCTGATCTATATTCTTATACTGTTTAACATAAATAAGGTATTTGTGCATATTCCTGGTAACTGCCTTGGCTTTGCTGTTGATCCAACGATACTAAATAGTGAGTTGGATTCTCTTAGAAGTGTTAAAACTAAGCTTCAATAACAAAAATCTTACACTACAGATGACACTTAAAGCACAAGGAACCCACTCAATTCTTAGATCCTGTAGCAAGTTTGCAGAACCAGCAGTGACAAATTCTGGTTTTCAGTTGGTGCATAAAATATGTTGAGTATTCAAATAAAATTTAAAAAGTCCAGTTAAAGGGACAAAATCTCAGCTGGTTAAAATCGACCTTGAACTGTTCAATAAAATCTACTGTTTAAAAGAAGCAAAGAAGTAAATGTAGTTGACAAGAGATTCAGAGTTGTTTATTGTATGTTAGCTTCTTTTTTTAAAAAAATAGAAAAAACCTTCCTAAGGCATGTGGTCATAAAGATACGATATTTCCCATGCTGAAGAATAACAATGCAACGGATTCATAAATACGTCTTATATTCCAAAATACATTTAACCTTAATTCCTACAAACTTGAAGGTATATAGTTATCATTCATTGTGGAAAATTCCAAACAATGGAAGCAGTCTTCAAATAAAGATAAATTCAGTGGCGTATTTGAAAAAGATTCTTTCACCAAAATATAGAGCTCCATCCTTTAAATTTAAAAAAGTAGTAGTGTATTTAAGAGGTACTAACATATAAGTTTCCAACCGTTGTGTTTTCACTTTGCTATTCATTTGTCTTAAAATACATACCTCTCAGAGTTGGATAAGGCACTGTAACATTCAACACATCCACAGAACAAACATTTGAATAACAAAACATTACAGGCTCCAGATAAAAAGGAGATCCCCAGCTCCCTTTAAATGGGCATAACTCCATTGACTTGTTTTGCTGTGCTCCTTTATATCAGCCAAAAAGGCCTGACCTAAAGCAGGGGGTTTGGTTTGTTAGTTTTCCCAACACCAGCTTAGAATTCCTTGTTCACAGGTACTTTCCGTCCAAAACGCTTGAGACCACATTTCCAGTGGATAACAGATGAGACTTACCACAGTGGCTATTCTAGAGCAAATGCTCTAAGTCTACAAACTACAAAACATATTTAGACAACCTACTTCAATCACTCAATCAGTGAAGCACTTATTTTTTCCCAATCCACTATTTCAACATAGTGATTTTAATACTTCCTGTAGTTGTTTTAAAAAGAGCAGTTGGTTGGAAAAGTGTAAAAACAAGCAAATATCTATTCTCCCCTATAAACCAAAGCATAATTTATAACTACATATTTCAAACACTTCCTGAGCTAAGACTGTTCCTGGGTAGAATTTCAGCTCAAAGCAGATCAACAATCTAAAACTCCCTAAAAATAGGGTTTAATGTAAACACTGAATCTTTAACTCTGGCAGCATAAACAGCTATACAATATATTTCTGTGCAGGGTTAATATGCTACAGACACTAATTCCTCAGTCCTGCAAGCCTTGTGCACTTTCTTACCTCTAAGTATTACTGACACCTGTAGGATGAGCATTGTTAAAGGTAAGCCTTTACTAAGTTATCTGCAAGATTGGGGCCCACGTTAGTTATTTGGTTTAGAGGTCCTGCAAGTAATGGTAGTTTATGCTGTGCCTAGTGGCTCTGCAAAGTCTTAAGAAGTCAAAGTTCATCTTAGCCATTTCTTATCAGAAGTTTTTCAGCCATGCTTCTGAGCTTCAGTGAGCTTTCTAATTAAGAACTGCTTGTCACGACACTCCTAAAAAGACAGAATGAAATAAAATACATTTAGTTAAAGAAACTGCATGCATTTCTTCAACATATTGGCATGTACATCACTCTTCTCACTACCATACCAATAAAGGGGTGTTCTTACTACTTTGATTATCAGCATGAGAAAAAATCCTATTGAATATAATGCAGCTGTAAAATTTAATACCAATGAGCTGGGAAAATTAGAATATGGGGGAGTCTGTTTCCTTTGACCTGCTCACTAGTATTAGATTTTATACCTGCCTTGTCTTCATGAGGATTTTCCTTCACCAATTATAACACAGCAAAAATGTTCCTTAGTTCCAAGTGGATTAGCATATGTGACTGTAAGACCAGAGTGCACAACAACCAACAGCAGCTCCTGCAAGGTCTGAAGCCAGAGCAGTTAGAAGGAAACACTCAGAGGCCAAGTCCAGATGAGCAGGAAGGTGTGCTTCCCTGGGGACAAGTAGCAGCAGCAGACCTTGTGCCACTGCTACTTGTCCCTGGGGAACGCCCATGCCATGTGCACTCCAATGCACAGCAGGTTCCCCTGGGTGGGGTAAGGGAGGCCAAGGTCAGCAACTGTGCTGGCCCCAGCAGCCTTACCTGGGGGCCTCTAGAAGCTGCAGCCACAGTGTTTCTGCAGCAGGGATACTGGCCAGCAGCTGGAGCATGCCATGGCTCCAGCTGGCCAGGCTCCAGTTTTAGGTAGTACATGCTGCTGCCACATGCACTGCCCTGCTTTTTTTTTGGCATGGGTTTTTTGACCCTAGGATCTTCCAGGGTGAAAAAACCCCCCTGCGCTGCAAAACAGCAGCATGGGGAACACTTGCACGTGTGGTGTTTGGGGACACAGACAGGTCTGCGGCGCCACGTACCACACATCTGTGCTTGTCTGGACGTGGGATTTTCAAAGCACCTAAAGGAATAGAAAAATTAATAAATTCAAGTGCTTTGAAAGGGTGGAGACTTACCATATGACAAGTGCTCTGCAATAAGTGCATGTGTTTCCCTGCGAAAGGTGACAGCTAACCAAAGGCAGCTTTCTCACATTGAGGGATAGGGCACCATGGGCTACAGCAAGTGTGGCCAGCCTGCAGCAGGAAAGGCATGCAC